CTCTGAGCCTTTCTCTGCAGCTTTCTTCTTTCCTTGAGATTCCTTCACCTTTCTCTCCTTCTGGTTGTCTTCTCCTGGACTTGTTTCCTTCTCCTTGTTCAGAGCCACTTTTCCTTCCATTGATTTTTCCTGCTGGTTTGGTTCCTGTTCTTGCTTTTCTCCTGCGATCTCTTCTTCTTGGGTTTGCTCTTCCTTCTCCTCCATGTTATTGGCGAGGGTAGCAAAACGAGATCCTGCAGTTGCAAACTGAGGGGCCTTCTCAACTTTCCTTTCATTTCCTTCTTTGGAGCGATCCTTCTGTTGTGATTTAGCTCTTCTAGTTCTTGTAGCTAGAATCCACGGACCATAGTCTTCAAGAACTTCTGGTCTAATTTCTGGAGGAGACATCGGGTTACTGCTATCTTTCATTCGCTGCTCAGGGGTCATTGTTTCCTTCCCTGACTTCAATGGACAGTTATTCTCCAGGTGACCATAGAGCCCACACCCAAAGCAAACCGTATGCAACCCTTCATATTCAATCCATCTAATCCTTCGTTTTAATCTGTATTTAGAAACAAGCCGCTTGCGTAGGTCGATAATCACACATATACGAGCATAGTTACCTCTGAAGCCATTCGCGGTGTTGTAGTCAATCTTCTCAACCCTCCCCAACTTGTTGCCTATGTCCTTGAGGATCTCCTCATCGAAGTAGGCGAGAGGGAGGCGGGGAAGACGAACCCAGACAGCAGTCTCATTTATGGAGTCGAAGTCGGGGTCAAAATCCAATCTCCAGGGTTCCGCAACGACGTAGTGATCATCAATTGTCCACGGGCCTCCGTAAAGCGCCCGATCGTGATCCATCTGAGTGTCGAAAATTGCTTGGCAATAGCCATTGCCAATGTCCCCCACCTTCACACGACCGGTCTTTGCCCACAGCTTCTGAACGCGTCGTTGGGTGTAGGCAAAGGGAAAGTTTTTCCCAAGGATTCTGAAGGTAATTGCTCTGTGCCATCTGCTCTGGATCCTCGAGTTGGTCCGCTTCTTGACTCGAATGGTTGGACAATCTGGGTCATCGCCTTCATCTTCTCCGTCTGACTCGTCGGACATTAGTTCGTCTTCTTTAGTTTCATCGGCATGCGGCGAAGCGCCCAGAACAGAGTCTCTATAAGAGGAACTAGCCTTCCTATACTCCATACTCATTGGCTCACGGAGATCTTTGTCACCCATAATCTGGTCCCCCATGTTCAGATCTGATGCCGGTGCTCTTGCCGTGACCACCACAAAATCCATATTCCCTTGGCCCGAGAAACCTTGGCTGCTGCTTGCCTTTGCTTTTTTGCTGGGTTGAGTCGGAGAGGATGTCGGAGATCCATCTGGCGGTTTGAGGCAGTGGTCTGCCTCCATCTCCGATGCCGGGTCGTCAACGGTCATAACACAAAAGTAGGAGAGAGTTCAGAGCATTTTTCTCTCTCTCTATTTCTCTTCCGTGATACTCAATTCTGACTCAACTAAATCCAACCGATTTCTCTCTATACATGCTAAGCTAAAGGGAAGTTTTACCTTTTCAACCATGGAAAAGGAGTTCACATCATGGTAATCCCCCACCTTGAATGTACCACAATTCTTTGTTGGAGTCCCAAAGCTGGCAAATAGGATATTATTTATGTTCTTGTTTTCAGGGCACTTGAGATGCACCGTGGCCTTCTCCAGTGGCGGGTGATCCTCAACGACAAAAGCACAAACGCGAGAGATTTTGCTTCTTGAAAAGTTAATCGCAGTTGGGTCTCCACCACTCCACCTTGCTCTTCGAATATCACAAGAAGATTGCCGCACGGTTTGAACCACGAGCGTGGAATTTGTGGTACCTGAAGGTCCAAGGCAACAAGATAAACAAAAACCAGGTCATAGTGTAAGTTACTTCTAAAGATTAAACTTTGTGCTAGAGTTACTTGTGTGGCATTGTACCATCTTTGAGTGGGTTCTCCACAGCCAGTTTTGCAATTCTCAGGATACGTATAACCCCTGTAATCACATCCTTCTTCACCATGGCTAACACATTGTTCATGTTCACCACTCCTCTGAAGCCAGTACCTTCCAATCTGTTGTCCATTCAACCAGGCAGAGCCTTTCCCCGTGTTAAGCATGTGCAAACCTATCAAGTCATCCCCCTGACGGTTCTTCCACAATAGCCTAAATGAAAACAATCGTTTCGAGAGGAATTCTCTACACGATACATCTTTTTTGTGTAGGTGATGTTGATCCCATTGTTCGAATCATCGAGTTTATAGGCTTAGTTCAAACTTACCTTGTACCATGTGAGAGGCTGCATCTTGGGTACGTCTGAAGGTACATTCCATGTCACATTGTCAGTAACCCTTTGAAATCTGCAAAAAAAATGATAAAAAAAAAATCCGCCCAAATTGATACTTGCTAGACTTTTAATCATCAGTGATGAATAGCTTCATGTCGAATCCATGATTTGTATCCTTCAAAATCTAAGAAAAATGGTCTTTCGAAAAACTGGCCAAAAAATTATGAATATATCCTCTGAAATATATCCGCCCAAATAAGGGATTAATAGACTTGATCTTTGGCGGAGAATAGAATCTTGCTAAATCTGTGATCTGTAGCCTTCAAAATACAAGGAAAATTGTCTTTCGAAAAAATCGTCCGAAATCTGTGATCATACCCCTTTGGAATATGCCAAAAATGGTCTAGGAAAGAATCCGTCCAAATCGGTGCTTAATAGACTTAATCACAGGTAAAGAATGACTTTAGGCCGAATCCGTGATCTGTAGCCTTCAAAATCTAAGAAAATGGCATTTTCAAAACATCGCTCGAAATTTGTGATGATACCACTTTGGAATCTGCCAAAAATTGTCCCGGAAAAAATCCCCACAAATCGTTTATTAATAGACTTAATCATCGGTGAAGAATAGCTCCATGCCGTATCTGTGATCTGTATTCAAAATACCAAGAAAATCGCACTGCAAAAAAAATCTCATGAAATCTGTGATGATACCTCTTTGGAATTTGCCAGAAATGCTCCCGCAAAAAATCTGACCAAATGAGTGAAGAATAGACTCAGACAAAATCCGTTATCTGTAGTCTTCATAATCCAAGAAAATTGTCTTTCGAAAAATCACCAAAAAATTATGAAATTGCCCTTTGCAAGAATTCTGCACAAATTGGCAGTAATAGACTCTATCATTGGTAGACAATAGCCTTAGAACAAATCCCTAATATGTAGCCTTCAAAATTCAAGAAATTCCGCCTTTCGAAAAAATCGCCTGAAATCAGTGATGATACACCCCATTGAAATATGACAAAAATGGCCCGAAAAAACCATCCAAATCGATGCTTAATAGACTTAATCATCAGTGACGAATAACTCATGTTGAATTCGTGATCTGTAGCCTTCTTCAAAATCCAAGAAAATTTGCCTTTCAAAAAATTACCCAAAAAATTATGAAAAATACCCTATGAAATATATCCGCCCAAATTGGTGATTAATAGACTTTACCATTGGTGGAGAATAGACTAAGGTCGAATCCGTGATCTGTAGACTTCAAAAATCCAAGAATAATAGTCTTTCGAAAAAGTCGCATGAAATCTGTTATAGACTTATAGTACCCCTTTGGAATCTTCAAAAAATGGTCCTGAAAAGAATCCACCTAAATTGGTACTTAATAGACTTAATCATCGGTAAAGAATAGCCTCAGGTCGAATCCGTGATCTGTAGTCTTCAAAATCTAAGAAAAATGGCATTGCGAAAAATAGCCCAAAATATAATGAAAAATGCCCTAAAAAATATGCACAAATAAGCGATTAATAAACTTTATAATTGGTATAGAATAGCCTCATGCTGAATCCGTGATCTGTAACCTTCAAAATCCAAAGAAAATTATATTTCGGAAAAACCGCCCGAAATCTGTGATGACCCCTTTGGCATTTGGCAAAAATTGCCCCGAGAAAAATTTGGTTGAATTCGCGATCTTTAGTGTTCAAAATCCAAGGAAAATAGCATTTCGAAAAAATTGCCTGAAATCTGTGATAATATCCCCATTTGGAATTTGCCAAAAAATGGTCCACGAAAAAAATCCGCCCAAATTGATGCTTAATAGGCTTAATCACGGTGAAGAAAAGCCTTAAGCCAAATCCGTGATTTGTAGCCTTCAAAATCCAAGAAAAATGGTCTTTCAAAAAATTGCCCAAAAATTTAAAAAATGGCATTCCAAAAAAATCTACCCAAATCGGTCATTAATAGACTTTATCATTAGTGAAGAATAACCTTAGGCCGAGTCCGTGATCTGTCGACTTCATAATCTAAGAGAAAGGACTTTATGAAAAAATCAAGGAGATTGATATTCGTCGCCCTAAAAAATCTTATTCATCGCCTTAATTATGTTAAATTTACTCTAATACCCTTAATTTATTTTTTTCTTTCAAATACTTAAAACTATAAAACAAACTACTCGTCGTCGAAACCGGCCACATTATCGGAGGCCTGATTGTCGTCATCATCACCATATGAAAAAGAGCAGAAGGTAACCATATAAAACATTACACTGAGATAACCAAATGATCAATGAACAAATCGATTCTACGGATAAATCCAAAAATGAAAGTAATAACCTATACTGATTACAATTGTTCTTCTGCAACAATAAGAAATGACCAAATACATATAAGCAAAAGACGCTACAAATCATCACTAAATACCACTAATCAAACAGCCTAGTTATTCTGCTAACTTGAAAATTTGTTAGTATATACTAACTAATATCCAAAATGTATGAATTAATATCCAAGTCTGCTAAGTATCTAGATAGCACAGACTAGTATTCAAAACATCACAAACTAGTATATAGATAGCAGATACCAACTAATATCCACAATCAACCAACTAGTATTCAATATGGATACTCTTATGGGTTATCTGGATACTCTTATGTGTTATCTGGATACTAATTATGTGTTGTTTAGATACTATTATGTGTTGTCTAGATATTAGTTTGTAAATTTGGAATAATAGTTGATTCATGGTGGATATCAGTTAGCAAACTTTGAATACTAGTCTGTACTCTCTAGATACTTTCGTACTCGGATATTAATTCATGTATTTTGGATATCAGTTAGTATCTGCTAACGAATCTTCAAGTTAGCATATTAATTTTCCCCCTAATCAAATGGGTGGAAAAACAATCCATCCCTCTTTATCCTCCTTCTTCTTCTCCTTCAATTACTCGTAAAATCCTCAAGAGGTGGTTCCATTCGGACGGGCTGGACATCGACTCGACTGTTCCTCGGACAGGCACAGGCGGTGAATGGGTTGAAACTCCGTCGCCGGCGCGCTTGAGACGAGTTCTTGACCTATCTCGAGCTTGCCGGTGATGGATTTTCAACTCGTCCGCCGCAGATTTTGAAAACAAGAAAGGGGAACGGAAGCTTATCTTCGACGGTGGCGACGAGACGACTTCTTCCCGCTCCGGTCGGATCGTCTTCTTCTTCCTTCCTGCTTCTTTCTTCCTCCTTCCTCGTCATCGCGAGCAAAAGCAGCACGAGCAATGTGGCGGCGCCGGTGATACAAGGAGCAACTCTTAGTCCTCGCGATCAGGCTTAGGGATCGTTTGTTTAGTGTTAAATTAGAAATTAGGTCAAGTGATAAATGTGTCAATTTAGTGTGTTTTAGGGCGATAAAATTTAAATTTTAGGGTGATGAATAGCGATTCAGAAAATCAATAGAAAATTACGAAAATACCCTCAAAAAAATCCGACCTATCTGTTGGCTCTGACGGAAAATGAACAAACTCTAACATAAGCCTAATTAACTCTCTAATGGAGGTAAAAGCCAGAGCAAGAAAGTAAGAACTCTCATGATCTCATTTCGGCTTTGGCCTGCCGGTACTTGAAGAATATTACATTACTGTACATTCTCTATTAGTTTATGATACATGTGAACATTACAACAATATGCGTATATGCAAACCCTATAAATCCAATAAAGATTGTGTTGTGCAAACCCTATTGCAAACTAGAAATTGGGCGTGGCTAGAAATTGGGTGGTAAAGAGCACTCGTGACGGCTGTTAACCAGTGGAATGGATTACTATTGCAAACTTGATTGAACCACTGTTGTAAACTTGCTTGCTTCCCCTCGTTTAGGATTTGGAATAAAAGATTCACCTTTAAAAAAAAAAAACTCTTGTCTTTCGCAACGGGCGCTTTTGTTGCCAAAAGCCTGAGATCAGTCATTTGTCTAGGAACCAATTCTAACAAAAAAGAATTGTGTAGAAACCACTAGTCTATGACATAAGTATGTGATTGGATTGGAAAACTATTAAACTTGGGTCAAAGGAGTAATAAGTAAAAGGCTCAAAGTTGAGGTGCCAAATTGACCGTTCCTAAATGTCTCCTTTTTCCTGTAGGGGTAAATTTCACCGTCAGTTAAGTTATCAAATGGTATCAAACGTTTTTCACCCAATAACAAAGAACTAATATATCAACAGATGTCGAAACCATTTGTGGTAACGGGTTAGTGGCATAGATTCTTTAATGTCGTTTATCCATTTCTAACTCCGTCTATTAGAATCGACGAAACTCATTGCTAGTGTGCTTGGTACATGCTTACCACCGTGTACTAGAAGTTCGAGTTGAATCTCTCAATTCGACTCTTAAAATCTCTGTTCGAGCACCCAAAGATACTAGCAGATGACCGAATATGCTACAAAGCCACAAATGACCGAATCTGAAAACCACATTTAATCTTTAACAGCAAAACACAGCCTTCAAACAGAATGGCAAAACATAAACATAAGAATCACCGGGGGAAAAAAAAACATAAACATAAGTAAGAACCCGAAAATTTACACTAATGGCGCATAAAAGAGCAACTCAAAATTACTTCTTGAATAACACAAAAAGGAACCCAACACAATCTCCCTTTATTTCCCTCGTGCCCTCGTGCCCTCATCGTCCTCCTCATCACTCTCATCAAGCAACACAAGATCAGCAAGCAGCTCCTCCAACGGAGCTGTAGCATCATCAGCCATTGAGCCGGCCTCCGACTCCTGGTACTCCTTGTTACGGTACAGAGACAAATTGAACCGCAACTCAGGGTTCTCCTCGATATCTCTCTGGAACTGCTCGTAATCCGACCTCTCCTTCTCTTCCTCGACCCTGACTCTGTCGTCAACTTCCATCTGCAGGTGCTTGAGCTTGTACTTCCGAGTCTTCCCTCGTTTCCTCTGCCATGCCTCTTCGTAGCTTTTCTTTATCAGAACCACCTCTGGCAAATTGAACTTCTCGAGCTCGCTACAGTTGATATTTGCTGCATAGAGGTCATAGCCAAGGGCACGATCGCCCGTGTTCAGAAGATGTCCCAGATGAGTCTTCACCCAGAAGACTTTGTTGCGACCTAAATCAGACAACCGAACCACCTGGACATCAGCCAATAGGTACCTGACCCCACCGATTTTCGCCTCCATTGGTGGCGAGGGGATTTGGACATACAGCACAACGTACTCCACTAGCTGCCTACTGGTCAGCAAAGACTTGAAACCATGCCTCCAATACTGATCAGAGTCCAGATCGCAGTGCCTCAATGTGAAAGGATCGAGCAGTGCAATGCTATTGGTCACCTTGGTGCAGACAACAAGAGGCCCAATGTTGCCCAAGCTGGAAGAAAGCCTCTGCGGCAAGCAAATCAAATCATCGCGACAAACCGGGCTGATCTGGACCGAGAAAGTGTACTTGTAGTTGTAATTACTGCTCTCGACATCGTGAGAAACCAGCTGCTTATCAACACGACTCTTGGTCGGGACGACGCTCCCCAGAAATTCTAGGAATTTCACAGCATGACTGCGGTTTCCAAAGAAAAAGTAGACACCTTGATCCATCTGCTTGATCTTTATAGCCTTCGAAGCAGCATCGTGCTTCAGTATCAACTGCTCGAGGTAGAAGAACGTCCGACGATGAGAAACATGCTGACGGAGCTGCACCGATGCAACCCACTGGTCCGGATTGGCTGCCACTCTGGAGCAAGACTCGCACATATGGTCCTGCTGGACGTACTCAACAACGTAAGCTTGCTCGAGGACCACCCCATTGAGGACCTCCTTCTGGATTGTCACGCGGACCTTGATCCGTTTGGAGTGTGGCTCAGTCCACACGAGTTCATAGTGGGTCAATCTCACCTTGTCGAGATTCTTCAGCCGCTTGACGCAGAATGTGAGGAGCTCTTTCGATTCCCACTGGGCTTTGATCCAGGTCTTCGGTGGCTGCAGGTAGCAGTAGCATTCCGGGCAGTGGGAGATCACGACATGCTTCTGTAAACCCTCAGTAATATCCACTTCCGATCGCAGGCACCTCACGCACATGTTGGCCGCGTTCAGCTGCATTTGGATGCCGCATCTGCAGCAAAACATCCCTGCATCTTGATCCTCCGGCATCATGGACGATTCCCTGCTCAAATACACAACGGAAACAAGTACACCCACAAAGCTTAATTCTCTTAGTTCGAGATCAAACCCCGTAAATCACAGAAGTTGCAGAAAACGAAAAATTGTTTCTCCGCCGATAAAAGTCCTCTCTACCGTATCATCGATGAAACCCAATCGAGGGATTTCATTAAAACTCAGAAAAATTCAATCGTTCGGCGGAGAAATTTTAATACTGTAAAGGGGAAAAGGGAAATCCGACATGAAAACGTACGGAGCCCAAATTCATGAAACGGAATTAGTTAAAGTAAGAAAGCAGGATGCACACACCTTCAAGCTTGTATCGGCGACGGGGAGAAGGCGGTAAGCAAACAAGGCGGGCGAGAGTGACGGCGGAGGTAGTGGTGGAGGCGGCGGGAAATCTGAGAATGGCGGGGAGCCAGGGAGCCAGCAACTGCTAGGCTTAAATAGAGAGGCTGCCTAGGTTTTATTTCTCGGGTATGAACCGTACCCGCCGACTTGGGAATTCGTCACCGACTGCTACAAACGGGCACCGAGTTTGCCATCGTTGGATTAAATTAATATGACATATCGTTGGCCGTTAAATCAAGGGGTTGTTTGTTTGATAGATTTGGTGATGGATTTGATAATGAATATGATCTAAAATTTGTGGGACCTAATTAACCAATTCCATTATGAAATCAATAAAACAAATAATCATAAGTGTCAAACAGATCTTCCTTTTTCAGGTGTTAACCAAGCGTCCAGCCCGGAGGGGGTAGTTTGTAGGGGGAAAAAAAATCCTCTCCCCTCTCTCCCACGATTAGCAGTTCCGAAACCAAGGGTTTCTATCGCCGTTCGTGCGACTTTCCAATCGCCACTCTCCGGCGAAGTGGCCCCGCTTCCCGGCGGTTTGGCTGTATGAGTGCTCCTTGCGGCCTTATAAGGCCCTGGTTGCCTCTTAGGATTCATCAAGTTCCAATCCCCCTCTTGCATCTTCAATTGCAATTGTCGCCTTTGTCCGTCGTTGAGCATTGCCCCATGGCTGCCACGGTCAGTGCTGTGTTCACAGATGAAGCAATTGCCGTCTCTGAAGAGCGAATCAGCCTCAGCCTCATTGGGCGAATCTTTGGCCCCGCTCCATCGACGGGGAGTCTTCAGCATTTCTTGGTTGACGTTTGGAACTGCAAGGGGTCGCTGACGGTTCTCCCGATGCCGGCGGGCCTGGTCCAATTCATCTTCTCGGAACCTTTGGATCGAAAGAAGGTGCTGGCGGTTACTCCCTGGATCATATCCCGATTCATGATTCATGTTCAAGAATGGGAGGAACCATCAGAGGAGGTCGCCCAATCGCTCTTACGGGTGCCGCTTGACGTTCAACTTTGGGATGTTCCCTATGAACGCCTCACCACCCTCATGGCACGATGCCTTGGTTCAGCAATGGGGGACCTCAAGGATGCTGCTGTCTATGCGGGATCTGAAATTGGCGGGGCTTTCCTCCACGTTCGAGTGGCTCTGGATGTTTCGGCTCCGCTGCCACAGACTGTATCTGCTTCTCATGTGGCCAACAGTAAGGGTCCTTTCAAAGCTCTGGTTTTGTTTGAACGTCTCCCGTTGTTCTGCTTTTGTTGTGGAGTTATAGGTCACAGTGGCCGTCGTTGTGCTCGTGCATCGGAGTTCGTCGGGAAACCTCTGCCATATGGGAGACATACGCTGGCCAAAGAAGAGGGGTCTAAAGTCGACGAACGCACTCTCAAGCGTCGCCATCCCAAGCTATCCTGGACTCGGCACTCTAGGGAGTCTTCTGCCGTGGGCAATACTTCCGCTACTCTTTTACTCGCGGCCACAAAGGTGGACCAGGCCCGTTCGGGAATGCAGCGGCTGGCCATTCAGGCCGCTCAGCACACTTCAGTGGTGCTTGGTGGTTCATCATTGGTGCGCAAGCGAGATTCACTGGAGGAAGGGGAGATTATTCCGGATCCTAAGGCTGTATGTCTGAATGCATCAGAGATGGTTGCTGGTATTGATGAATCTGATGTCAGGGTGGAGGCAACCGGCCCAGCTCGGTCCCAGTCCACATCATGAGTGTTCTAGCGTGGAATTGCCGATGTTTTGGCAAGGCCTTGGCAAGGAGAACTCTCTCTGCCGTTGTAAATAGTAGAACTCCCATGATTGTTTTCCTTTGTGAAACTAAGTGTCGTGATAGAAAAGTGATGAACCGCTTGCGTCGTTTAGGTTTCGTTGATTGTGTCATTGTTAGTCCTATCAATACTGCAGGTGGTTTGGCAGTAGGTTGGACAGGTGATATCAATTGTAGGGTGTTGTTTCAGTCTGGATTCTTTATTGGATTAGAGTGTGATCATCAGGTCTATGGTTTAGTTGCTTTTGTGTTTGTCCATTTGGATTGTAACGAGGCTTTGCGCCAACTACAGCTGAATGAAATTGTTGCTTATCTTTCCGATTATTCTCATCCCTTTTTCATTCTTGGTGACTTCAACTGCCTACTAGCTAGTTCTAAAAAGATAGGTGGTCGGTCTCCTTCTCCTCATTCTCTATCCTTATTACAGAACTTTGTTGCTCATCTCATATTGCAGGACTTAGGATTCCATGGACCGCCCTTCACATGGTCAAATCGGCGATCACCGAGTGAGCATATAATGGAGCGGCTCGACCGGGTTCTTGCTTCTAGTATGGCGGTTTCATCTTGGCCTGGTGCCCAGGTGCACCATCTCTCGGATTTGGGATCTGATCATAGAATCATCCTTCTGCAATTGCATCCTATGGCTGCCAAGACTAAGGCCAATTTTCACTTCGACAGCCGTTGGATTGGCAACGAGGAGGCAAACCAAATACTGCAGGCACAGTGGCTTTCTCCAGTAAGTGGAACATTTCAGTACCAACTGCATGAGACTCTTAAATTGACTCGTCACGAGCTGTACAAATGGGCAGCCTCTGGGACGTCGAACTCAGCTCGTCAGATCAGAGAACTTCAAGATGCGATCTCCGTTGCTCGTGATCAAACCATGATTGATTGGGCAGGTATTGTGTCTCTTGAACAACAACTCTCGGAAGCTTATTTACAGGAGGAGATTTATTGGGAGCAGAAGTCCCGGACTCATTGGCTCACGTGGGGTGATTCCAACACGAGGTTTTTCCACCTGACTACCCTTCAGAAGCGGCGACGGAATCGCATCCTTCTCCTTCGGGATGACGTTGGTGGGATACATACTGATGAGGATGCTAAGGGCACTGTAGCAGTGGCTCACTTTGGCAATCTTTTCGCATCAGAGGCGCTAGAGGAGCTCTCATTTGTGGCCAGCCTTAATCTGCCTGTTCTTGTGACTGATTCTATGAATTCAGCCTTGATTACTACTGTTACCCGGGAGGAAATAAAAGCTGCAGTCTTTAGCATTGGTGGGTATCAAGCTCCAGGTTCGGATGGATTCACCGGTATCTTCTTTCAAACTTATTGGGGTCTGGTCGGCGATTTGGTGACTTCTGTTGTACTGGAATTCTTCAACTCAGGGCACCTCCTTCCCAATTTCAATCATACTTGGATTACCCTTCTTCCTAAGGTTCCGAATGCTGAGATGATGCGTCAGATGCGTCCAATTGGTTTGTGTCAGGTTCCCTACAAGATCATCTCCAAAGTGCTCACTTCAAGGCTCAGGGATGTCCTCCCAAGGATCGTCTCACCTTGTCAAAACGGATTCGTGAAAGGAAGGCTCATTACTGACAATGTGCTGATCGGCCAAGAAGTGCTTCATTTTTTGAAAACTAAAACCTCTGGTCACAAAAAATGGATGGCTCTTAAGCTTGACATGGAGAAAGCTTACGATAGGGTTGAATGGGAGTTTCTTTTTGGCGTTATGCGACACCTGGGCTTCTGTGAAAGATGGTTGAGCTGGTTATGGGCCTGTGTGACGTCAGTATCGTACTCGGTTCTGTTCAATGGCGCACCACACGGGTATTTCAAACCTCATCGTGGCATTCGGCAAGGGGATCCCCTCTCCCCTCTATTATTCGCACTCTATACAGAAGCATTTACGTGCTGCATCAATCGAGCAGTGGCGATGGGGTTCCTCCATGGTCTGAAAATTAATCGGTTCTGCCCTCCGATCTCCCATCTATTGTTTGCCGACGATTCCTATATCTTTCTTCGTGCATCCTCCACAGAGTGTCATCATCTGCTTCAGCTTCTGCATGAGTACCAGCAAGCGAGCGGGCAAAAAGTTAATTTGCAGAAGTCTACCGTCTCTTTTAGTGCCAATGTAGCAGAGAGAGGCGGATTCTCTGATTTCCATTCTTGGGGCCCCATCCCCAACAATTTCTTTAAATCAAATAAAAAATAAATTGATTGAGGCCCCCAAAAATTCCAATCCACGGAACAATCTCTCTGGACCCATCCCCAACAATTTCTTTAAAATTTTGGACAAAACTGTCTTATTTGAAATTTTAGGTTAAAATTATTTTTTATGTTAAAGTTCAGCCAAAATAGTATATTATCCCTATGACATTGAAGCTACGTCGCAGCCACCTTAGCATTGTATGTTGAGTCATAGGCAAAAGGAATGTTTGACCTTCAATATTAATGGTCAACCCAAAATTTAGACCAAATTTGTTCATTTCTTTCAAAAGTCGGATAAAATTATCTTATTTGCATGTTCATGTCAAAATTGTTATTTACGTCCAAGTTTTGTCTAAAATAAGATATATTACCTAAATAATATAGGAGTACTCAAAATATTGACTAATGAAGTTCAAAAAATTTCAAACAACATACAACCCTGATAAAATTATAGTCCAACCACCTATCATTTAGAACAAATGCCTTTCGGACAGGATAAAACTATAAATATGAGTGGTTCTATCATACTTCGAGTAAGAAGATGACATAAGGAAATCATATATAGACCTTGAATGACATACTATGAGTAAAAAAAAAATATATAGACTTAGAATTGCCCGGAGATTGGAAAGTGGTAATATACCCTAAACCCTTAAAGATTAAACTCTAAGTCTTAATTCTATGAATCTCATATACTAATATCAATTTAATTAGAAACAATAATCTAAGGTCATGCTTCGTCAACATACATCCAACAAATTATGTGCATCATCTTGGTATTTAGGAAAAGGATTGAAAACCCTCATCGTACCGGGGGTTTAACAAGAAAACCTCCTACCGGATGCTAAAGCAGTAGGCGCTATTCAATGATATGAAACGGTTGAACCACGTTTAAACCATAGCTTTGAGATAAAATACCCTACTGTCGAATTTTTTGATACAACTGCCCATAAGGTTTTACAATCATTGGTTTAGGGTCTATTATTTAAATAGTTAAGACCTAGAGTTTACTCGTCAAGCGGTCAAGGGTTAGGTATAGTATTATGACCCGAACTCCATTTAATTTGAAGTCTAGATTTGCCTTTTTCTTACCAATGTATGCGTTACCTTTTGATTTTACTCAAAATACGATAGAAAACACTATATATATACACATATGTGTGTGGTTGTGTGTTCACAATATAATGAGTTTTCATATATTCGGACTAAACTGATTTTCGACCATTAACTCTTAGCGCATTTTCTCGATCGTGCCAATGATTGAAACCGAGTTGGTCACCTTGAAAAGTAGTCAAATTAATATCTACACCAATGGTTAATAGTAATATAGTGAAACCGGATTCCAACTATTAACTCATAACTCATTTTCTTGATCGGGCCAATAACTGAAATTGAGTTGACCACCAATGAGTGAAATTAATATTCTACACCAGTTATTAATAGTAATATATCGAACCCACCTTGCCTAGTATTTTCTTTAAAACATCAAGTTAAAAGGCCGACTTTGGTTTAGATCCCTTAACATCACAAAGGGATATACAAATGAAATAGGTAAATTTGGGTTTTATGTAAAAATAGGGTTAATATCTTAGTTTGGCCCGAACTATAGACAAATTTTCTACTTTGGCCTTTGGTATTGGAAATTGCTATTCTGGACTAAACTATGTAGCATACTTCTTTATTTGCCCCAGAGACGGGTTTGACCGTCAGATTATACGGTCAACCAAGTCGACCGTTAGTCAAGTTCCCCTCACTTGCCACGTCAGCTATCTGAGAATAATTTTTTTTAGTTTCTAATAATAAAAAAATATACAAAAAAATAATTAAAGACACCCAAAAAAATTAATTAAAAGAGGGGCTAAGATAATTTGGGACCTCTTTTAATTTTTTTTGTTTTATTATTTTTATTATTAGAAAGTAAACAAAGTAAACAAAATCCAAAAAAAAAAAATTATTCTCTGATAGCTGACGTGGCAAGTGAGGTGGACCTTGACTAAAGGTCAGCTTGGTTGACCGTCTAATTTGGCGGTCAAACCCGACTTCGGGTCAAATAAGGAAGTATGCTGCATAGTTTAGGCCATAATAGCAATTTCCAATACCATGAGCTAAAATAGAAAGTTTGTCTATAGTTCGGGCCAAATTAAGATATTAGCCTAAAAAGTATCAGAATAGTGAATTATGTCAGGAGATGGGTTGGTTTACACGCAGGAAGAATATAGCTTTTCTTTCTCTCCCCTTTCTTTAAACGCTCTGCCTTCTCTTTTCGTCTTCCACTTGCAGACGTGAGAGGGGTTGTTGCCGGCGTCTTTCCGACGATCGGCGGTAGCCCTACGCTCCTTTGGTCTTTCGATCTCTTCTTCTTTGCATGGTGTACCTTTTTCTCCTTCTGATTTCAGCTTTGTCTCGCCATTTCAAGGCTCTGTTTCTCCCTTTGCTGGGTGTTCCCTTCTCCCCCGTCGGTGGGTTGATTTTTTGTTCCTCCGATCTAGTTCTTAGATCTGGAGATGGTTGACTGATCTAAGATGCGATTGGAGGTCGGATCTGACTTGTTTTGTCATTTCCTCTCCCTAGTCTACCTCCTTGTATTTCCTTGCAGATCTTGGTGAGTCGGAGATGCAGCCTTTGGCGTCAGACGCGGAGTGGAGAGCTTGAAGACTGTAGTACCATTCCCTCTAGTTCTTTCGTCGGCGACCGTCGGATGATGTTGTCCCGGAGGTCTCTCGGCTGGAGGCAGAAGTCGGCTGGCTCGGAGAGGGTTGATGGAAGGTTCTCTTCCTCTTCCCCTCTTTCCGGGTTCGGTGGAGTTTCCCCTGTGCTTGGTGTTTGACGATGCTGGCGGCGGCGGTTGGGCGACCAAGCAGCGGTGGAGAACTCGGCGGCGGCGGCTAGGGTTTCAGAGGGGGTGGATGGGTGGCTAGAGTTTGGTATACTCTTGTTGTGGCCTGGGTCTGGGCCCTATTGGGTTCCAGCCCATTTGGGTTTGGGCTTGTTTTTTTCTCTGTATAAAGTCTGGTCACCTTCTCTATTTGTACTTTCCATTTGGGCTTGGCCCGATAGCATTCTTAATGAAACTCTCTTTAAAAAAAGGGTTGGTTTACACTTTACTTCACAAAATGAACCGCACTATATAAATAAATTAACAAAATAAGAAAGTGAAATAAAATAAGAGAAATGTTGTGGTCACTTTGAATTTTTTATCATTGGGATATGTTTTATTATACATATAGGAATCTGTTTGGGTTAAAGATGAGAATTACATTAGGCATACTAAGCCCATCGGTTTCTCCTTTACAATGAGGTTAATTAGCCTCATGACCCATGGGAGGCCTACAGTCCCATGTAAATGTTTGATTCTATGGACATTTGAGATTAGGGATGACAACAAAATCTGAACCCACGGGTATCTACCTGATCCAATCCGGTCAACATGAGTAAAATTCGTGTTGATGGGTTTTGGGTCGGGTTTGGGTTTAAACTCGTTCACTATTCATCGGGTTGGGTTGGGTTTAGGTAAACCCGACCCATGGGTACCCGCGCACACCCATATAATTAATTTTCTCGGTATATTTAATATTCTAAACAACTAATCTTATTTATGATTGTGGAGACATGTCTAATTTTTTCTTTCTAGTTGTGTAGAATAAATTTGATGTTATCGAGTGGAGAGTGAAGAAACTTAATTGAAAGGAAGAAGCTTTCAATTAATCATGTTATTTATGTATAATTTGTGATTTGCTTCAAATTTCTTGAGTTTTCTTGATTGGTTTTTAACAATTTGTATAGTCAATTTGTGATTTGCTTGAATTTTCTAGAATGGTGTTTTGTATATGGATAATTTGTATTGAGAGATTGATATTTGACTTTAATTTTGATAGGAACTTGTTATTGTGAATTTTTTACGACAAAAACCCGTGGGTACCCATAAACCCGCGGATACTCAGCGGGTTGAGTTGGGTTTGAGTTTTACTACGGGTTTTTTTACGGATAAACCCATGAGTTTGGGTTTGTCAAAACACGACCCAACCCGACCCATTGCCATCCCTATTTGAGATGGACAAATTCCGATTCAAACTGATGGCTGATCACACTAAGTCGGAGGAGCTAAGGGCGCTGGGCTCAATACAAGTTATACAACAGTGGGTCGGATGTGTTGGGCCATAGCACGGACCCTATTTTCTAACAGCCGGCCTGATCCAAATTCTGGGCGGGACAAATGTTGGGCGGATGAGAGCTCCAAAACGCACAGACTCATTTAATTAAGTTCAATGACCAATATGCCCCTCTGTGAAGTGCTCTATGGGCTTGAATAAGGATGGCAATTTCGACGTGACTCAATTTCCTAACCTGTTTGCCCTGTTTTGGGACGGGTCAGACCCGTCCCGTAGGCAGGGCGGGGTGGGCAAGGGTATCTCTCATCGACCCGGCCTGCCCCGACCCGCCTCATTCTCGACCCGTTCTTGCCAAAATTACATGTAATCTTAGTCAAATTAATTAGGATATTTCTCTTATTACATTATATTTTAGCTATAATAAAGTTGTAAATAAGTGAAAAAATCAATTTCTTCGATAATTTAACTACATTTTATCATATTATGGTTTCTTTCTTGGTCTTTTAATGAAAATAATGAATATTTCTAATGTTTATCGCATAAATTACATACCCATTGGGTCGATATGCCCCGACCCGTGTCCCCTGATAAATTACCCGAACTGCCATGGGGCGGGCATGTGTATCGAGATACCCGCCCCAGACCTGCCCCATTGTCATTCCTAGGCTTGAAATTCAAAATGCTGCAATCCCAACCCATGAATCTCGTTTATATCTTTTGTAGATGAATCCAAAAAAGGAGAAGTTGGGAATGCATTTCTTTTTTGTTTCTTTTTCTTTTTGCCATAGATACTAGGAGTTACAAAAGATAGGTTAAAGCATTCTATGTAACAAGACGTGACAGTCGATAAATAGTCGAACTTCCGATGAGAGTTTATGATTCGCCACTAAATGGGTTGGCCTATTAAACTGATAAGGAGTAAATATGGTCCAAATTATTGTTTAATAGACTCAATCATTGGTGAAAATAGTCTCATGCCGTATCCGTTATATGTAATCTAAAAAATCCAAGGAAAATTGCCTTTCGAAAAATCGCCCAAATATTTTCGAAATGCCATGCAAAAAAATCCGCCCAAATATGAGATTAATAGACTTTATCATTGGAGAAGAATATCTTCAAACAAAACGTGTGATTTGTATACTTCAAAATCTATGGAAAAGAGCCTTTTGAAAAAATCACACGAAATCTATGCTAGTACCCGTTTAGAATATGGCAAAAGTTGTCCCAAAAAAATTCTTCCAAATCCGTGCTTAATAGATTTAATTATTGATGACGAAAAGTCTCATGCGAAATCCTTAATTTGTTGCCTTTAGAATCCAAGGAAATGGCCTCGAAAAAAATCTACCAAATCGGTGCATACTAGACTTAATCATCGGTGTAGAATAGCCTCAGACTGAATCCGTGATATGTAGCCTTCAGAACCTGAAGAGGATGGCTTTTCAACAATAGCCCAAAAAATCACGAAAAATGCCCTAAAAAACCCCTCCCAAATCGGCTATTAATAGAT